TATAGATGGAAAATAATTGATAAATATTATATATACTTGAAATATCCTTTGTTGAATTTCAAAAAAAAAATAATTTTTTTTAATTTTTCAACCTAATTTTTAAATATTTTCGCATATCCTTTATATTTAAATTATATTTAAAGGTAATAATGATGGCCCTTGCAATATTGTAGTAAACAAAAAATAAAAAGAAAAGAGCCAGCAAACAAAAGCCAAATGAAAGAATAAAAAAAATATATAGAATGTAAACAGGCGCCAGACAATGTAATCCTCTAAGATTAACGAAAGGACATCCTATTTTTCATCTTTTTTTTTTCGTTTTTATTTTTAAGATTTGGTAGGTTTTTATCCTGTGCAAGTATAATAATTTATGTCCTTTCAATTTTTTTTTTTTCTTTCTTTACTTTGTGATTTATCTTTTCGTTTTTCTTTGAAACAAATGGAATAATGTGAGTGTGTGTGTATGTGTAAATCGAATATAAAAGAGCGTGCATTGTCAATTATATTTAATGCTATTGTTTTTAAAATATTCATAAATAATATATATGATGCGTGTGTATGTATATGTATATATATTAGAAATATACTTAGATCTATTTAAAGAGAGATTATCCTTTAATCGGTTAAGCGCCTTCAAATTGTTTATAAGACTATATATATATGAATACAATAAGCCCATACTTCTTTTACTTTCTCTAGGTATTTTGTGGAAAGTATATGGTTTGTATGTGCATGAAAATGCTATGAATATCTTCTTAAAATAAGGTAGAACTTAAAAGTATTAATTCAATATATTTAATCTATTTAAAGAACAATAAAAGGTAACACCATTTAAAGGTGATTACAGGTAAATTATTTCAAAATATGACTAAGTAGTTTTATTATAGAAGAAAAAAAAAAATTCGACTCAATGATAATTACAAAAAATTTAAACAAGTATTTTTTAAGCAAAAATTTTGAAGCATCATTTGATCGCATAAAATGTATGACTGTATTTTAATACCTAAGTATTTTCAAGACAGTCACGGCAGACCAAGGAACTACTGGTGGATTATGACCAGAAGTGATTTAAGAAAATTGTAGGAATGGGCAAGAACCAGGTGAGAATTCTGACCGGGGTCTTGTCGGGTCACTGCAGATTTAGGGGCCACTTCCTTCGGCTAGGTCTGGAAAGTGAGAAGAATGTGGAAACCTCAGTGAACCTTCTGGGGGGAGTACAATGCTGTCGCTCATAGGAGAATGCTGTCGCGCTGGGGGGGGCTTCACGGCGGCGGAGTTGCGTTCTTCCGGACCTCACACGTTGCTTGACCACACAAATTTATCAGGAGGGTGGGTCCCGAGCGTGTGTTGTAGGGCATGCCACGCATTCAAAGGGGTGGGGGGGTGACGGTGCACTATTGCTCCCACTATACAAGTCTACAATCTAAATTTTAAAGACAGTCAAAATTATAACAGAATTCTTAAAAATTATTCATATAGTCAAATTTAATTTAATATCTTTTTACCATTTAAGCTTAAGCGAAACACAAAGGCTCCATATTCTTAAATATGAGATTCAAAAGAACATTAGGATACTTCCGTAAGATACGTATAGACTCACCCAACGAAATTTCTTTTCTATTATCACATCCAAACATTCGTAACAACATACTGCCAGTTTTAAAGATAGTAACGTTTTTAGGAGAAAAACAAAATTAAGCTGACATCGAAACTTTTCCAACAAGTCATATTCGAATTGGATAACCTGAAAGCTCAGTAATATTCGAAATTTAAAAATTTTTGATGACAAGTATAAAATATTTAAAAATAAGCTTCCAATTTAATTCAAAAAAATTTAGCACAAATATGAAAATTTTTTATTTTCTAAATTTAATCAATTTATAGTATACTAATACAGATTACAGTTTCCAAAAATTAATTAGATGCTAACTGAATAACAAAATAGCTTCAAATATTAAAGTTTAATATTCTGCTTATAGATCTTCTTCTTATAGACCTATATACAAAATCTATTGCTCAACACATTGATTATCATCTAAAATTAAATTTATTAAAGAAATAGATTAAAATTACTAGAGAATACTTTAGAATTTCCTTTTATCCTTGAAATATTGCACTGCAGAATTAATATAAGACTATATAAGTTGCACCTATTAGGGAAAATTTAATCAATCCGCTAAACTTCCCTTGTAATATTTTTAAAATTGGAAGCAAAATCAACTATAGTAGCACGTACGTACGTAGCTGATAGTAAAATTTTAATTTAAAAAAGTTCAAAATTTTCGAATGCATTACGATACTTATTATACCATATAATTTATATAAGTGTTATATACACTGAATGTAATTAAGTATACAAATATCATATAAAAGAACTGAAATTGTTAACGCTTATGCTTATATGAACACGAACAATACATGAATATGTAGATGGCCGTATATATATACTTTAATAATTACCACAATATATTAAGTGTTATTGTCGTATAGTGCCATGCCACTTAAAAAATAAAAAAAATAACTATACAAGAACCTTTACATTGAGACATATGGTTTTTTTTAAAAAATAATAATATTGAGAAAATTAACAAAAAAAAAAAAAATTACAAATCAGGCACGTTCCATGAAAATTCTTTTATCCTTTTCAAGTCTAAAATCAAAAATGCTCTCCTTTTCCTCATTATATGCTCATACAATATATATGTACACACATGCATACATGTATGTATGTATTTATTATAAAATAAAATATGAAAACAAGTCCTAAACTTAACTATTATGAAATTATAAATACAAAGAGAAAACCTTGTGAAGACCACCATTGTAGAGAGAAAGAGAGACTCTTAAAAATGGAACTGAAGTAGGAGAAGAAATTCGAGTAGTACTTTTTAATTTTTGTTTTTTTATTGAAAGGTGAAATATAATTGTTTTTATTGTTATTGGTTTTATTTATTTTTTTTTTATTATAAAAACAACAATAACGCAATCCTTTATGTAGTAATTTTTCAGATGAGTGTTCTTTTTACATAGCCCTTAAAAAAATTATTGTTCTGCAAGAAGAAAAAATTTTGTTTTTTTTTTCTTGTGAAAAACTTCTATATGAAATTGTGGAGATTTTTTTTTTTGTTTTTAATTTTTAAGGTAATTTGGCACGGACGGAAAAATTAATTTAATAAAATTTCAACATTATTTCAAGATTCTTTCGACAATGAAAAATTTGAAGAAAATGAAACTTCCTTAAATTGCTTGATCACAACATTGTGTTTCGTAATTAATGAAAAATCATTTGTAGGCATCTCTAAAATCAGAGAGTTGAAAGAGTCTACTTTTTATTGTAACATGTAATTTTAGATATATGTGTTGTTGTACAAACATGTTTTATGACAAAAAATGTTAACATTTCATTAGTTAGCAGAGATGGTTTGGCTACATTGAAACACGGCTTTAATAGAAAAACAAAATTAATTTTAGATAAAAAAATTTCGAATTACGCATAGACAAGACTTGGGCGAATAGCAGCCCACGAAATTTAATATATTAATGAAAGAAATTTCGTAAGTAATTGACACGCAACTCTTTAAAAATTTCCGAGCGTTAAAAAATTTTTTTTTTCATTAAATCACAAATCTGTCCGTCCGTTCTAACGATAACTAATAAACAAATTATAACTCTATGCCACATTCTTAACCAATAAGAGAAAGTAATAAGGTAAGAAATCCTATTAAATTTGGGTCCAATTGAAACAATATTGTTGAAGTAGCTTAGAAACTGTAAAACATAGTGTTACTGATTTTGGCATATATATGACTTTGGTAAAAGGGTCAATATTATGATAAAATTTGTCTGTAACACCTTTCAATTACTTGACATATCATATTTCAGAAACCATATTCAAATAGAGTATTCAAATTTTACCTAAAAGAGTATACTAACCGGACTAGTATTCCAACAAAATTAAGTTTCAGCTACATAAATGCTTACAAGAGTAGCCAAGCAATTATGGTGTTAAAATTTCACTAGAATTTTCAATAGTATTAAAATTTCACAATATTTGATCTAACATCATATAGTACTAAAACAAGTTTGAAAAGTGTTATAAGTTTAAGTAGTGTAGTATGAACATTTCACTTCTTCAATTTCTTTATTAATCCGTAATGTCTCTATTAATTTTTAAAAAATCAGAATGATTATTCCCAATTACATATTATAATTTTTATATTAAAATTATTTTCAAATGTAAAAAAATTGATTTACAAACAATTACAAAATTTTTAAAAATAAGTAATAATTACACAAGAGAATCTATTTTATTTTTATCATTGAGCACCATCTTCTGTTCAATAGTTGACTCTTTCAATAATAAGTAACAAAAACATAATGCTAGTGACATCTGTCGATATAAATTATTTATATTATAATTTTTATATTATGAGTACATACATTGAAATAAAACTAGATGGCCAACAATAAGTGATTAGCAGCCGCTTTCAAAAAGTGAAAATAAAAATGTCTTTTGGAGAAAACAATTGGTTTCGGCCAAAAATACAACTTGTCAAAAAAATAAGTAATTTAAGTAAATTAAGTAATTTCTGGTTAATTTTTTTAAGAGGACCTTAACTTTGAAAAACTTTATAATTAAGAAATAACCTATTTATTTTTGCTTTAGTGGGTGTCTACTCTTTAAAAAGCATTCTAGTTTGTTTGAATTCGTTTGTTTATTTCGCTTACGTTTGAATTTAGCCCATCGCAAACTCCATATAGTTTTGTTGTTTTTGGAATCCTCTTATTGGTTAAGAATGTGGCACAGAGTTATAATAGAAGGGAAAAATATCTGCAAATTATCAAAAATAATTAATTAAGAAAATTAAGTTTTTGTCTACTGAAGAGACCTCTAGTTTGGAAATCTTAAATGACATTTGACTCGAAAAAGTCAATTATATATGAATGGATTTGAAAACTTAAACTTATGTCATTTCATATGTGTCATTTTTCCCTGCACATTGTTTATCGTTTGCAAAAGAAATATTAAAAATATTTTTTTAAAATAAAATAGAAAAATTTTTATAAATTTGGCCTTTAAATGCCTACATAAATTTAATTATATATTGTGTTAGAAATGAGTATGTGTTCAAATGAATGCTAGTGGAATTTTTTTGAAGATATAAAAAAACGACATGGGTGTATGCCTCTGCAAAGATAAAATTGAAGAAGGAGTATCATCAATTAGAGAATATGTTGAACAACCCAATGGTTCCGTAGAAAGTGATCAAAGCAATGCAACATCATGTAATCAATTCAAAACTTTAGCTGAAAGGGTGGATATTTTAGTTAAAGAAACTTTAGATGTTATTGCAGCCACTGTTGATAAGTAAATGATAAATGAAATGATTTTGTAAATGAATTTACTGTTATAAATATCACATTTTTTTTAGTGAGCCTGAACCTCCCAATTCAATGATTTTATTAAATGCTATAACGGATAAACCGGCAGGTTGGATGGAACTTATAAGATCTTTAATTAGAAGCGTGCCATCAGAGCATCCAATGGGATTTAATGTTATAGCTCTATTATTAGATGATAGTCCATTACCTACAAAGGAATGTGTCATGGAAGTAACTGAAATTGTTGGAAAAACAGTATTTGAACATTTATCTACAGAACGAAATTTTTGTGTTATATTAGGTTGCCTGGCAGAAAAATTAGCCGGACCTAGCAGTATAGCTTTACTTTCTGAAAATACATTGCAATATTTAGTTGATAATTTATCAGATGATACAAATAATAATATAAAATTACTATCAATAATTGCCTTAGAAAAATTCGCACTTACAAGCGAAAATAAAGCGACTATTAAGGTAAGTATAAGAAATGATTAGATAATTATAACTGATTAGGATAAAACGTGGAAATTTGAACATGAACATACGTATGTCTGTACATATGTGACTATGTATGTAAATTGAAATACATAGTTAATGAAACTATAGCTGTAAAATAAAATATGTAAAAAATTCTGCAATTATTTTCAAACCCAAAAACTTCTAGTAGCATTCGTGAAAAAAATTACTCTAATTATCAGGTTAAAATTTGCAATAATGAAATAAAAATTTTGTTAAGTTTTCATTTACTTATAAAAGATTCTCTATATACAAAGAGATTATTAATGCAAAATTATTTGGAATTAACATTAGAATATTTAAAATTTATTTACAGAAAAAAATCGAACAATGTAAAAGCAATCCATTATTAAAACTAGAAAAATACACATTAGACAATGATTACATACTTCGCCAAATAGGATTTTGTGCACGTTGGTGTTTGGACAATTATTGTAAATATTAAATATCATTTTTCCTGAACATTCCAAAAATTAATAATTTTATTTTAAATCTTATTGAATTGATTTTAAAAAATGTTTTCCAATTTAGTTATTTTAGATAGTAGAAAGTATTCTTATGAAATTGTTGACACTAGTAATGTGAATGTAATGCTGAATACTAAAGACGTAAGCGAATATTTAAAAATTTCGCCTGATGGATTAGAAGCAAGATGTGATGCATATACATTCGAAAGCGTCAGATGCACATTTCAAGTAAACTAAATTAAAAATACATATAAGAAAAACTCATTCCAATAAAAAAAATTTTTTTGTAGATAACAACTGGTTGTTGGTATTATGAAGTTTTAGTAGTTACACCAGGTGTAATGCAAATAGGTTGGGCTACAAAAGATTCTAATTTTCTAAGCGATGATGGATATGGAATTGGAGACGATATATGCTCAATTGCATTTGATGGCTGTCGTAAATTAGTTTGGCACAATGCAAAAGCTACTTCACACAACCTTCCGGCATGGACAAGTGGAAGCATTGTTGGTTGCTTATTAGATTTAAATAAAAAAGAATGTGTTTTTAGCATTAATGGAGTGGAAAGTGATATTTATAAACAAGTTTTTGACAATGCAAAGTAATTATCTGATATTAAAAATACAAATTCTGCTTACTTAATTTTTTTTCTCTTTTAATAGAGAAGGATTTTTTGCTGCTGCTAGTTTTATGTCATTTCAACAATGTAGATTTAATTTTGGTTCTGAACCATTTAAGTATCCTCCTAAAAATAGAAATTTTAGTAATTTTAACGACAATGCGACCTTAAAAACTCAAGATAAGGTAAAAATGCTTGATGTAGAATATATTATAGGGTTAATATTAAAAAAGTCATCAAAGCGTGTATACTGCTCTTTTATTATATTAATTTTAAATTTATAAATTACAGCTACTATTAACTCGACAAAGTTATAGCAAATTTTATTAAATTTCAAAAAACATTTTTTAGATCATTTTACCACGGCATATTTATTTGGAGAAATTAAGAAAGTTAAGTGTACGAGAAGATTCTTGTACACTATGCTTTGACAGAAAAGGAGTCATAAGACTTGAACCATGCAAACACAGGTAAATATATTAAAATATATATATAAATATGTATTGTTAATTAATAACAAGATAATAATTGAATATATTTTAAGGGGTTTTTGTTCGAAATGTTCTGTACAAATCCAACACTGTCCCATGTGTAGAGCAGCAATTGAGGAAATTGTAATAGACAATATAGATAATCCTGTTGTCGAAGATTTAATTACGTGATAACTAATATCGTGTAGGTTTCACCTTGTTTTATTATTAAAGAAAAAGAATGATCAAATATACATATATTTTGTATGTAAGGTTTTATTCCCTTTGTTAATTTTAGAGAGAAAAATGCATTTTTTAATTCTATGTTAATAAATTTTATCTAAAATAATAATAATAATGTAAATTGATTAATTCCATCGATAATTTTCAGGAAAAAAAAATTTAATTTATCTACATATTAAAAACTTTATTTTTTTATAAATATATTTTGTTTGAATTGTAATTTATTTTGATTATGTACCTAATTATAAAATTGTATTTTTATTTACATAACTTGAATCATCATAAATTAAGCCTATTCGAGTATAAGATTTATCTAGATTTGCTTAAGAATACCAAGATGTCTTCGTCAATATCTAAATTAAATACGAATTATAAAAAAAAGTAATTACAAAATTAATTCAAATAAAATCAAAAAATGAAAAAGTTATCGAATGATTTCTAAGAACTTAATTAACTTAACTTAACTTCAAAGTCTGTATTTTCTAAAATAACAGTATATGGTAAACTACGTATTCATTTTGCTGTTATTAAAAAACAAACGAAACTGTCGAAGAAAACCATCGGCAACTATCCTAATAAAAATCTGTCGATAGTCAAAACATCAAATCAAATCATCGTTAACTGATCTTCTAATTCCGCATCCAATAAAAGTATAATTAATATTAGACTTTTATAATTATACAAATGTATTTATGCAAGTACATACTTTGTATTTCGAGCTTCTTTTAAGCGAATTTCAGAAGATAAACCATGGGATTAGAAAAAGTAGAAATTTTTTAATAAATCAAAAACTTTTTGGTAATCAAACTTAAATTTTCAGATAAAAGGGTTTTTTAACCAGGGAATTCAAAATTTAGAAATTTTGTTTAAAATTTTATAAAAATATAATTGTTATACTCGTAATATACTTACGAAAATCTAGAGTCCACAATATCTATAGGTTTTTCATATGATTTTAAAATTATTTAAGTATTCTAATTTAAAGATTTAAATGAATATTATTTTAAACTAAACTTTTAAAATACATTTTGTAATAAAATTAAACAACATTATGATTCTAAACGAATTTTATTTATAACTTTGGGAAATTTAAAATTTGTAACGCTACAGCAATGTTTCATAATTATACCGTTAGAAATATGGAATATTGCTATAAGCATCAGCAAAAGTAGCTACACATTGTATATTGCCGCCACATTTGACAATTCCTAAAATAATTTGACATTTAATTCGCACAAGGTACTGGTACATACCTTAAACAGCTGAAGGTTTCAAGAATTTTTGCAGGATCAAAAATTTTAAAATAGTTTTAAGTTTAAGACAGCATTAATATTTTAAGGAATTAATACTTTAATCAAATGATAACAATAGTTATAACAAAATTTTGACTCAAATTTCTTATGACTATGTACTACACCCGTCAAAATTTCTCTAGGATTTCTCAAAAACTTTCTTCTTAATATGTAATTTGAAACTTTTAACTAGATTAAAGTATGTAAGAACATAAAAAATAAACAAGTTTTTCTGTACTATTTAAATAGCATAGACGCTATTCAAAATTTTACAAAATTTTTTTAAAAATGTAGTAAAGTATGCATGACGTTGAAATTTTTTCCACAAAATTAAACGATGTTGTAACAGTGCGTTATCCTATTTCAGTCATTTACAGTATTCGAATAGAAAACTTAGTTCATAATAAGCATTTAAACACTTTGTATAGAAATGTTATTTTTACATATCATGTCCTGAAGTAAAAAAAAAATTACAAGAAATTTTAACTCATGTGTAAATGTAGTAGTTTTTGTAACATCTTGGTAATAAAAATCTATATTATTGTTGCCTTATTACACACTCAAAGCAATGCGAAGATTGAAGTACAATTTTTTTAATTGAAATGTCCATTGACTATTTAAGACGAATAACTAAAGTGACATTTCCTTATTCAACACAGCCCTTGAAATTAACTAATTGTGATTGTCAAAATTTGTATACAATTTAATACAAACAATGTTTAGCAATATGTAACAGCTTATGTATATAAAACTAGCCACATGTTTACCAAACAGTAACTAACATTCAGGCCGTTTTGGCTTTTAGCTTTTTTTCTTTCAAAGGTTGAATTTGATCAGTTGCAGAGTAAAAATAAAAACGACAATATTATTTTGTTTTAAATATTTTTAAAAATTGACGAGTCAAAATAGTATGTTAGAGCGTGGAATCAAAGTATGCTGAACGTAAAAAAAATACGAATTTTTAGCTTTGTACAGTGATAAAAACCCAACATGATCTTTTTTTTTTGACAGGTCTGAATCTGCTGTAATGTTAGACTCAGTTGAAGAGTTTAAATTTCGCTATGAATACGTCGCTTTAGTTGAAATTTGTAGTTTGTAAACTTTCAGATTTCTCGTAAAACAACTTTTGTACAAATTAGTTGCATTTATACCAATTCAATGAACACCAACTCATGAAACAGTAAACTATAGTATTGCCGTACAGTATACTGTTTGTAATAATAATATACTGAAATTTTGAAATTATTAGAAAATTTGTGTTTTAAACTTTGTATTCTGCTTACTTACTAATTTATGGAAAACATTATCTACATAAAACGTATAAAAATTAATCTAGTATAAAAATAAATGATTTAAAATGGCAGAGAACTTTGCTCCAGTAGCGTATATTAGACAAAAGACCGGTATAGGGATGCAGTTTTTTTCATTTCATTTTGTATTATAACCATATTTGAGAACATGTAGTATATTTTATTAAAAATTACGAGAATATAGAGCGCAAATTTTTACTAAACCTTAAAGTTCGTCAGTTAATTGAGAAAAAACTTTGGAAATTATATTATAATGATAAGAAAACATTGTTCATGGAAATGTTGCAAGTTTATTCTTTATTTTAAAAGTATCAAATAATAGCAACCAGCTGAGAATTTTGATATTGTTATCTTATTTACAATTTCCTTATTTTTACACAAAAAATACGCAAGCACACATTTAAATTTGCTTACGTGAAATTGTCTAAAGCGTTGCTATATTTAAGCATTTTTCTGCTATGTTGCAGCAAAATCCATCTTAAAATAATTTTGTGTATGTCTTTCATTTTGATGGGCAATACCTGTTTCTGACTTTTTGTGATTTGTGAGTTTAACAAAATACCTTATTAGGCTTATTAAAATAATGAGTATAAAAATATTCTAATTAAATTATAAATAAAGTTTATTTGAAAAAAATATGAAAGTTTAAGTGATCTAAGGTGTTTATTTAATTGTTATTAGAATTTTCTTTTAGTTTAATTAAAAGTGTTATTTTTTTTTTCTAAAATTTTAAAGCGCTTGCGTTTTCCAATTTCTTTTTTATTTTTTTTTTTTTACAATTTTCACTTCAAATACTTTAGATGTAAATTTGTAAAAGAGGAAAGAAAAAAAAATTTTTTTTTTTTACTATTAATGCTAATTACCAAAGGAATATCTGGCTTGAACTAAAATAATTTATTTAAAATAAATATATAATGATATATATGATATAATTTATAATATAAAATTTACTTAAGTAATAATTTTCACTGAAAATTTTTATATAAAACAAAAAAAAAAAAAAAGAAAATTTTTCTGCCACACACAAAATGCAATTTGTCAAAATTGTGATGTGCAGTTTATAAAAAATGGCCACTGAATATAGTTGGCCGTCTGAAGAATTATTTATTCGCCGGTAACAAAAGATATATAAATTAAAATTAAAAAAAAAATAATAATTAAATTAGATAAAAGCTTAAAAAAATACATAATATATAAATAAAAAGACACTTAATAGTTTTTATGTGATAAAAGTTCAATGCAAAATGAACAGCTTGTCATGTGCCCTAATTAAGAAAATTTGAAATCATCATTTGAGTGTTATTGATAAAAGGTAGGTAGTATAATACCTAATAAACATATATATATATATATATAAATAATATGATTATGTATATTACGTATATATATATATAATAAATATATTAAAGAATATCAAATTTTATAAAAAAAAAAAAATGTAATTTAGGTCTAATACTTAATTTTTTTTTCATGTTTCTTATTTTTTTCTGGTTATAACTTTTGCCTTATTAATTTTTAAAACTAAAGTAAATTTTTGTTTGTTATTTTGCATGTTTATTGTTGTTTATCATATATTTTGATTTTGTGAATAAAAAGAAAAAACATTTTCTGGGAATATTGGGGTTTAGAATTTTTTTTTTTTTACTTCTAAATCCTTTCGAAAAGAAGAAACAAAAAAAAAAATGAGTCACTGTCACTAGCATTTTATAAGTATGTAGGTACCTACTTAATATTGCCTATATAAAATATCTTTTGTGTAGATAAAACTCTACCATCTTTTTACCAGTTTTATAGATTTTTTTCTTCTTTTTCTTTTGCTTCTATGTTTTACATTTATTTTCTTTTAATTTGCAAAAAAAAAAAACAAAACTCTTGTGTGATATATATGTATGTACATATACATATAAATTTATTTTTGTTAAATATTTTTCGATGTATCATAAAAATTTCTTGTATTAAAATCGCTAAATATTAAAATAAAATTAAAATGTTTTAATATTTTTTTGTTTTTGCTTTAATATAGACACAATTGTATAGTTAGAAGGGTAGGTCCAATCTACATAATACAAATGTATCGATCTTATCCTGTAGAGAATTAAAAAAAAAAAATTTTTCTTTTTTTGCAATTTTCAATTGAATAAAATAACATAACCTTAAAATATTGGTCTAATTTTTTTAAAATGAATGTCAGATACCTACCTGATTAACAATCCAAATTCACATAAGTTGGTATAGGTAGGTTGGTAGTTAAATTTAAATAAGATTTGATCTATGTAAGTAGCTTCAGCGTATTTATTTCTTTTCATTTCCATTTGTCTTTTTTTAATTATGAGTAAGTGTTTGTTTTACTTTATTTATATAAAATATAGTGAAAAATACTTACGAAGTTCAATTTATTTTTATACCAATGAAATTAAACCGTATATATTAAATTTGATAAAGATACGAAGGCATTGGAACTATCTTTCTAATACTTACCTATACCTGAAGCTTAAAATTATAAACAATTTATGCAATTATTTAGTTGATTAGTATAAAATAATTATTTTATTTTTAAAATGGGTAAATAATATAAAAGTAAAGGTAGCACAAAATCATCGAAAAATTTTTGCTTAGTACCGAAGTATATTTTTTTTTTTTTTATATATTTTGTTTCTTTTAGTGAGATACTTAAGTTCGTGAGTTAGCAAACACCATGTATCCATTTTTCATGTTTGTTTTAATACGCAAAAATAACTAAACTGTCGTGTATAGTCTATACTTCACTTAAATGTTACAAAATGATTCCGTATATTTTCGTTTTTCTTATTTCTCACCTGAATAGTGAACAGGATTGAACATGTTATTTTTTTTTATAAAAAATATGCTTTTATAAGAAAGGTAGATTGAATTAGCAAAAATTGTTTTCGTTGAATAAAAAGAAAGAAACAAAAAAAAATAAAATAAAAATAAGAGAAAATATTAAGTGTTTTTTAAATACGTACCTACCTACCTAGGTTTGTATGTAAGTATGTATGTATGCAAAAAAGAAGAAAAATCACCTTTTAAACTTAAGCATAAACAATTTTATTTAAATTTAATTCAAAATTTTCTTTTATTAAATTCATAATATAATACACATATTTATAATTCATTATTTTTAGGTTTAAATCATCTATACGTCATGTAATCCATTATCCATTGATCATGCAAGAGAATTAAATACCTACATATGTACATATCTATATAATAAGATTTTAGTGGCTGCTTATAAGAATCTTTGTATGATAGCAAATATAACAAAAAAAATCCCCTACAAATACACGCACACATACATAAAATTTTTAAACAAATTAATAATCATCAACAATAATCATACAATAACAAATTTTTATTTTTGTATTTTTAGGATATTTGAAGGATTTGTTTTTCTTCTTTGGTTTTGTTATATTTATTTTTATCTTTTTCTTATTTTATTTTATTTTTTTTTTTCGATAACATCTTATGACGTCATTAGAATATTCTTAGATATAGGTACAGAAGAAAAACTTAAATTACATTCTACTGTCAAAATTTTAAATGTTATTAGAAATATGTATGTATATATGTATAGCTTATATAAGAAATTTTGAAGATATAGGTACATTTGTAGTTCATTTATTTAACAATTTTTGTATTCTTTGGATTTATGAACTTACTGTTATGGAGTTAAAATCACACAAGGAATAATAAACAAAATTATGTACTTTAGGTAGGAGGCACTAAAAGAAGTATTTAAGTACGAAGCTAAAATTAAAAAGAAAATTGCAAGATATTTAAGTATAAGATTGTGCACTTGATTATAAATTAAATGATAAATTTTTTTTGAGTTCGTTTACAAAGAATTTACCTTACCTTTTGACTTCGAAAATAGTAACTACTTATGCAATTAAAATTAATGTTTTTTTTTTAGTAAATTTTAATTTTGTAAATTAAATTATTGTTTAATTATAAGATAATTGTAATGGTATATTAATTCCATTAATATATTTTTATCCTATCTGTTCACCTCTTAATATTTTTAATTAATTCTATCTTTATAAAATTCGTAGAAACACAAGCTGTCCGCCAATATTCGATTTTCTTTCACTTTTAATCTATTTGTGTATGTTTTCGTATTTCTACACCAATAGGGATTAAATTTCACATTTCTCAGTGTTTAAAAAAAAAAAGAATGTGTTCACTATTTATGTCCTATTTCATACTTGTCATAATTTTGTCATTGAATCCATTTGAAGAAATTTAGTTTCTTAAAATTTAGAATGACTTATATGCACAATAAATGGTTATCATTTTTGATACATACTGTTCTGATAAATTTTTTTTGTTCATAATTACTATGAAATTTAAGGACAAAATTTTTATAAAACCTAGATAAATAAGTTTTTTCAAAACGCATGCTTTGTAAAGTAGGTCTTCTCGGTTAAACAAATCAAAATGTTGCTTAGTTAACAGAAGGTAACAAACTTTGCATATGCATAGTATTTTCAAAAACCTTTAGAATGAGATGAAAAATTAGGGAAAGGGGCATTAAAGTAATAGCCGAATAGCCGGGAGTTAATTAGGTGATCATGTTTATTGTTGATTATAAAATATTTCGAAAATACAAGAGGCCGACAATTGAAATTTTATGATTTTCGATAGGCGGAAGATAGAAAAATATTTCTAATGTATAAATACAATGAATAATCAAAAAAATAGCATTTTTAGAACTTTTAGAGGGGAGATTTAGTAAGTTTTTTTTTTTTAAAGAAAAACTGCTTAATAGAAATTTGTTAAAAAGACACATGAACGGACGAAAGATGCTTGGTAATATTTTAACAGTATAAATAAATTTGAGTTTAATTTCCATTAATAATTTTTCAATTAGTTTTCATTCATAATAGCAATATGAATTTCTATTTAATAATTAGATATAAATACAACGTGTATTAGCTTACTTATCGATTTTAAATTTATAACCATAAATTTTATGTAGAACATTATTATGTACATTTGTACATATAAATTATTTACAGAGTTATAATTTTGTTATTTTATCGTAAATAAAATTATCATATATTTTTTCACTAATATAAATAATAAGTATGACTAAATTGTAATTTACAACCAATTCCATTATACAATACCAATATTTTAATGTGTAAAATTAATCAATTTCAATTACAAATCTATATTGAAATCTACATTATATGAAATCTACTCTAATATACTTATTTGCAATAGTTTTGATATGAAAAAATAAATGGTTAATCTTTATAAAAATTATAGAATCAGGTATTTTTGTGCGTTTACTTAAGTTTTAAATTAAATAAATACAACCAATAAATATGTTTGAATATTTATTAAGTGTATAAAAAAAATTGTATTTATTTAATAGATAAGACATTGCTTATATTTATTTATATTGGATTTGTATAATTTTATTCACACATATGTATATATGTATACTTATTAAATAATATGTTATCTACCCTACTATCTCAGCTTTTTGATATCATACTTATATTTAGTATGTACTTACTTATACTTATACAAATTTATAATTTAGAAAGTTTCATTGTAATAATTACTTGTATTATCACTATTAATGTTATTAATATATTGTTATTGTTATTAGAAAAGAGATTATTATTAATCTACTATTAAGGTCTATGAAGTATTTAAAAATTTCATTTATAAAAATAATTATAGATATAAATTATTGAGAAATTTAATTTTTATATTGAATTCTCATGAAAATATATTGAAAAGTCTGATTTATTTAAAAAAATAATTTTTATTATAAAGTTTGCTTGGGACATACTTACTTCTTTCTTAATCAATATCTATTTCTTTTAAGCAGATATGTACATATATGTATGTATCTATATAATTTGTAATTAAACATAGTGAACAAATCCAATGTTTTTCAATTTTTCTCAATTGATTCAGAAATTTTAATAATGTTAAATGCATAAGTAATGTTAAATAGAATGGGTTTTCGCATAAATCCCCGATATTTTGTCTTATAAAAAATTATATTTTCATACAAACTATATACAGTGGAATTTCTATATCTCAAACTCTTCAAATTTCGGAAAATAATTTAATATAGAGAAAAGTTTGAGTTAGAATATTGAAAAATTGAAATTAATATTTCTAAATGTTAATTTAACAGATCCAAAACAGTTCGAGCTAAAAAAAAAAGTTCGTCTTATAGACAGTACGAGACAGAGAAATTTGACAAGCGTTATAATGAATTTTATTTGCTTAATTTTTTTTTATTCTACTTCGCTATTGGGAGGATCATAC